GACCCTCTGGAAGTCCAGGCAAACCTGTGAGCTGATATACGAGTGACCACAAAACTGGCATATAAAAACACACTTACTTTAAAAAATAAATAAATAATAACACACTGAATTTCATTCAGGGTAAAGCAGGAAAGGTAGGTGCTAAAGGAGAAAGAGGCCTTCAAGGAATGAAAGGTGTAGAGGGCCAGAAAGGAGCTACAGGGGACAGAGGTACAGCGCTGACGTTACTATTTAAAATAACATTTTAATTTAATGGTATAATCCACCCAAAAATTTAAATTCTGTCATTATTTACTGTCATCTCTACCAAGTATGACTTGGTTTCTTCTGTGAACACACAGACACAAAAAAAGTATGATATTTTGAAGAATGTTGTTAAACAAAAAGTTTAGGGTCCCTTTGACTTCATTAGTATGGACAAACAAACAAACTATGGAAGTCAATGGGACCCAAAACTGTTTCACCCAAACATGAAAATTCTTATCATCATTTACTTTTCGTTATGTTGTTCCAAACCTATGTATTTATTTTGTGAAAAAAAGAAGATATTTTTAAAAATATAACCAAACGGTTTCAGGTCCCATTGAAATATAATTTTTGCCCATAGGACCTGAAACTGTACCACCCAAAAAAAAATTTCTTCCCCTGATGTCATTCTAAACCTGTATGACTTGTTTGATATTTTGAAGAATATGTTGGTAACCAAAGAGTTTCAGATCTCATTGACTTCCATAGTATGGACAACAAATACTATAGAAGTCAATGGAACCCAAAACTGTTTGGTTACCAACATTTTTCAAAATATCTTATTTTGTGCATACTGGTTTGAAACGACATGTGAGTAAATGACAGAATTTTTATTTTTGGTTAGACTTTCCCTTTAACAAAAAAAAAAAAAAGAAAAACAAAGAGTTTATACATACAAATGAGCTCTCTGTGTTTTTCTAAAGGTGCTAAAGGTCAGAAAGGACAGAGGGGTGATCCTGGAAAAGGTCTTCCAGGGCATGATGGTCACCAAGGCCTCAGAGGTAGGATCTTTTTCTGTCTGCTATTTCAATAACTGTGGATTAGATGTAGTTAAATCTGGTTTATTTCTCCAAACAGGACTGCCAGGCCATCCAGCAGAACCAAAAGATGGAACTGATGGGCCACGAGGACCCCGTGGTTTTCCCGGGCCTGTGGGTCAGCCTGGCATGGTTGGCGATGCAGGAATACCTGGTGTGTGCGAGGCACGAGACTGCAGCATTCATGCGCCTGTAATGCGCAAAGAGATGGGATTGGTCAAAGGCCCTCTCAGCCAGGCCTGACAACAGGGACGAATGTGAGTGACCCACGACAGGAGATAATCTCCAGCAGAGACCATGAAAATAGTGCTGTCAGATGGAAGACATCACATACAGACAGACTGGAGTCAAGAGCTGGAGATCAAATCTCTACAGATTTGTTTACCAATTTGAAGTCCAAAAATGAAACTATACAAATGAAAACTACCAGCACTTTTGGTTTCATTCATCAACAATGTTTTAGTTTCATTATAAATACAGTACAGACATGTAAATAATTTTGTAAAGCATCTTAGATTTACATCTACTGTGTCCTGAAATATCATGTTTTATTGTCTTGATTCATCAAGCTGAATTAAAGAAAAAAATTTTTGTAAACATGTTAAGCCGTGTTTGATTGTGTGGCATGAATATAGTGTAACCACAAAATTGTATGATCATTGTTCAGGCCATTATCATACCTTTTTGAATAACTGTAAAATCCATTTAGAAAAAAAGTTTTAGTTATAAATTATGGACAAAACTAATTTGTTTATGACAGGGAAATATTTATGTCAATAAACATGTAATCATTTATAGTGTACAAGAAAAGGAAGAGTTTAAAAAAACAAATTAAAGTAGTATTGGTACATAGATCTTGGCAGTGTGTTTGAGTTGACTCTTACGGCCTTTTTTATACAGTGACCTCAAAGAGTATTTGAACGCAGCCACAAATAAAAACATTTCAATGTATTTTCAGTATATATCAAAAACAATTAGAATTTCTTTTAATGAAATATTGCACAAGCTCAATTTCAAAACCTTTTCAAAATGGAAAAAAAAGGGATACAAAAAAAATCCACATTAAAAATATTTGCATCCTTTTGCACAAATAATACTTTAATTTGAATAGATTTTTATATGCTTTATATATCAGTCCATTGAACCTATAGTCAAAGACCTTACAATATTACTAAAACATTCATTCATCAGAGGTAGATTCAAAAATATTTATAAAGTGCGAAATCATATATAATTGCACCATGCAAAAAAGGGTCAGAGGATGGGGAACATCCCCTCTACAAGTCTGAGACCTACGAGTGAGCGATGTCTCGTGGTACCATCACAGAGGGGCACAAAACCACTTTCCAGAACATTTTCGTTCACCATTCCTGGCTGGTGGAATTATCTTCCCACCTCCATCCGGAATGCTGAATCCCTGAGAACTTTTAAGCGACAGCTAAAAACTCATCTCTTTCATCACCATTTGACCTCATCCTAAAATAATAATAAAAAAAAAAATCTTTGCTTTCTCTTTCCTTAATCCCCTGTCTAGCTTGTACTAACCAGAACAATGCCTGAAACTTGTATTAAGAGCGCTCCTTTGTTTATTTGCCTCTTTATGATGAATCGCTTGTTGTATTTCCTCAATTATAAGTCGCTTTCGATAAAAGGGTCTGCTAAATGAATAAATGTAAATGACATCAAACCCCATGTTTTCATGTGTCTCCATGCACACTTACTATTCCTATGCTATCCTATACCATTTCTAACCGTACAGTATATAAGACGTACTATCCGTCGGATGGGAGACATCAAACCCCATGATTTCATTTGTCTCCATGTACTCTTACTATTCCTATGCTATCCTATACTATTTCTAACCGTACAGTATATAAGACGTACTATCCGTCGGATGGGAGACATCAAACCCCATGATTTCATGTGTCGCCATGTACTGTACACTTACTATTCCTATGCTATCCTATACCATTTCTAACCGTACAATATATAAGATGTACTATTCCTATGCTCTAAACTAATAAAATGGAGCCCTGCCATAATAAAGCTATTTCTAGAAGAAAAAAAAACTCATACAGAATTAAAAAGAATCTGTTGAACACTCTCTTTATCCCATATCACTGTAAGTAGCTTGAACATTGCTTCTGTTGTTTTTGTATACATATGCAACACACAGCAGACACACCACAACGGCTATGACCACCAAGGTAATGGGCAGGAAAACACCTAAAAAATAAAATAGAAAAATCCTCTGAAATTAAACTAATTTCTGTTCCGAAGAATATTATATATTTTACACACACACACACACACACACACACACACAGTGTTTGTTTTATATTACCAGTGTGACCTCTGTTCACAGGGTTGATCAGTGATTGAGGGACTCTTTCGCCTAAAACGAAACAAAAGAAAATGTTTGAAAATGAACTGGCTGCCCAACAATAAACAATATATCACTGGTAGAAAATAAACTTACCATAAAAATGTACACGGTATTCAGTCAAATAATCCTTTAAAATAGATACAAATGCTGGTTAATGGTCAATTCAAATGCTCATAAAGTCATAAAGGACATGTGGTGCAGAGAAAACGACTTACTCTTGTGCATATTACAGCCAGGGTGATATTGACGCAGTCAGTCAGAACGATTCTCCCAACGAACACCTCTTTGCATGGACTATGACACTCTGGGGTGGATTGCAGAAATGTTGCAATAGACTGAAGGATTTATGGGCTAATTTTCATTTTTGGGTGAACTAACCCTTTAAAGCCAGTGAGCTGCAGCGTAGATAGAATCTATCACTGAACTTCAATTCTTCAATCTACTCACATGATCCTGTGCAGACCAATACTGATCACAGTCTGGGCTCTTCATTGCATATTCAGATTGTACATGGTGCAATTCTTCTGCACAGGTGTAGTTTTGTGTGGTCTCTGTGACTGTAGTGAACACTGAGGGAAGAGAGGTATAAGATGTGTCTGTCATTCAGAGTTGTCATTACTATATATTTAGAATCATATACAGGTGCAACACATAAGAAAAGTCATAAGCTTTTGTTATTAACTTTTTTGCATGTCAGAGTATCCAGGTGTGTGTGTGTGTGTGTTGTGTGTATGTGTGTTTTGACTTTGCTTGTGAGGACCAAACGTCCTAAATTACATTGTGAAATACTTTGACAACTGGTCCTCACTAGTTAAAAATATTAACCTGACATAAAATCAATGGAAGTCTATGCAGTAACATGTGGTGTAAAGTGTAACGTTTATTTATTTGAGACGAGGGCAAGGCATCAGATTAAAACTACCGCGTAAAAACCTGCTCGGCAACAATTACGTAATGGGGGAATCCCAAGATACCAAAGGGAGTTTTTTTTTTCAAGTGTCATTTACTTTCTCTACCAAACATCTTTTTACATGAACTGCATGTATATATAACTTTTTTAACAACATTAAGATGCAACGTTAAAATTAAAAACCAGCTGAGAACTGCCATAATGGGAAACACAACAGAGACAAAATTTAAATCTAGAAAAAGCTAAACTTACAGAAACTAACAAATAACAAAAACACACAGATAACAAACGTTATGTGAAAAACCAGCATAACCACAAGCGCTCGTGCTTACTAGACCGCTAGAGACATGATGAGAGAATAAACTTGCTGCTGCGTCATTAATATTGAACAGCATCAAGCCTCATAGCTACAGTATGTAATATGTAAAGTGAGCGAATCGGAGATTAGCATGAAATATCTTACCATGTGCAACAAAGACTGATAGCAATATGAAACGAAAAACTTCTCTTATCCAGCACATCGCGTGGGCTAGTCTGATGAAGTGGCTGTGAATGCATAAATGAACGTTTCCATTGCGGTTCCGGGTTCACGACTGCAATAGATTTTCTCTACATGTTCACCCTTGCTTGCACGTGCTAGGGAATCCCCCACTTCCTCAAAACAGTGACATGAAGTGTATAAAAGGCAAAGAGTCGACAGCAAGCTACAGTCAGAACCATGCATTACTTCTCGGAATTAGTCGCTTGTCTTGTAATTTTAGGTAAGACTCCACCTGTATTTCTGGGAGCATTTTCACGCAGACTCTGTTGATCCAGGTTGACATGAGGTGTTTTATTCACAGCTGTGGCGGAGGGAGTGCGGCGGGAGATTCGCTTCTTCAGTGGTGAGGACGCAGTCTTGAGTTGTGCGGCGAAATCAAAACCCGACGTTCAGTACCGTTCCGTCATATGGTACAAGGTAAAGTTCAAAATTCGTTTTTTGGGTTTTTTTTTTCTTCTAGAACCTTGAGTTTTTTTGCCTCACATGTTCATGTTTTGTACTAGATGTTGAAATCTGCCCCTATATGTTTATGAGAAATGTATTGTTTCAAATGAATATGTCATTAAACTTTAAGCTAAACCTCTGACCTTCTGCAGGTTTCTGAAGAGCCTTCCCAGCTGTTATCTGGACTTGTAAGGAAGAGACTAACTGAAAACAATGGCACAGTGCAAAAATATAAAGGTGTCGAACGAGAGGTCGAGCTACTTGAGAGCTCAATGAGCCTTCTTCTGTCTAATGTAACTGCAGAGGACAGTGGGATATACAAATGCTTTCTGTCTGCTCCCCTTGGCCATCAGAACCAAGAAGGTGAAATCGTTCTGAAAGTCGATGGTAAGTAGGGCCTATGGGGATTTATAAAGGCCACAAAAAGTATTTGAACGCATACTTAAGCCACACTTAAAATATACTAATGTTTTAGACATTTTTGGAGCTTTTAGAATCAAAATCAAGTTTACTAGGGTGATCTAGTAGGCTACATTAACCAAAGGTGTAGTAGTTCATCTCAGTGCAATAATATCCATACAGTTTTAAGTGTGGCTTCCAAATACTTTTAAGGCCACTGTATAGTTCAACTGTGAGCAATAGCTCGCAAACTAACAATCTGATCTTCATGTGTGTTTTTGTTTTCTTTCTTTCTCATTTTTAGAGTATGGTACAGATGAGAAAATTATATTTAATATAAGTGATACAATTTATGGTGTTCTGGCTATCCCAGTACTCATTATTGCATTCCTGATGTTCTGCATAAGCTATGTAAGTACTTAAAGTCAAGATATTATTTAAATACTTTGAGTCAAGATGTTCTGCATGTATTTTAAAGTTATTGACCAGAGTTATGTTTACCACAGGTTTGTTTAAGGAATGTATTTCAAAGCAACAAGAAGCTTTTAAAAGACTCTTTGCTGAAAATGCAACATCAAGGGAAAAACTTGATCGTCCCCAGTCATTTGATTTGCAAGACAATGCCTGAAGTGTATGTGTGATGGTAACCAAAGTACATGGATTAGTGCTCAGTAGAAGTCAAATGAAGCTTTGTGCACAGGACATGGAGAGTCCACAGAGCTTGTGCTGAAGAGGACCATCGGCTGACGCACAGGAAGTGGCAACCTACTTGTTAAGTTAGTCAAGGTGCAAAGAGTGACAGATGCATGCACAAAGGTTTCAACATCATCAACATTATCTTTTGAAAACGGCATTTTTACACCATGAAAACAGTAAGACCAAGAGAAAAATGGCTTTTTTTCTGTGTTAAAATTGTGCATGCTTCATTATGGTTGCTTGGTGGTGAACACTGGAAGTGGAGAAGGACTGTGTTTGGATGTTATGCTCGGAGATCAGCGTTTGTCAGGCACACCTACAGGTTTTCCACCAAAGAAATGAGATAGTTCTCAGTCTATATAGGCGAATAAAACACTTTCAAATTATTTTTGAAATAATTTTTTCAATGTTGACATTCTTATAGAAATACAAACAACAAAAAACTACCTCATAAAATATTTTCCTGTTGATAAAAATATACATTATTAAATGGATTTGCTTAAAATTCTTTTTTTTTTATGATATGGAGTTGTATATTGTATGTTAAAGTTTATTGAATATAGAATAAAGTGGATACAAATGATCAAAGTTATTGCTACGTTTTGTGTTCTGTTAAGACTGCACATATAAATGTTTCATGTAAATATAATCTAGAAGCTTAGTACAGGTCACAAATAATGTATTTTTAATATGACCTATTCATTTTTAATGATTATTAGTTCAAGTGATTATTTGTCAGTAATATTTTATAAATTGGCTGGTGAAACTAAAAGTTTCATTGAGTACAATTAATTTAGAATTAAATATTCAATATTCTAGATTAAAGTAACCGATCTTAGACCGTTTAATATTTTTTCTGTCACTTATTAAAACAGACTCTGCTGTTTTTGTCTCGACTATTTTTAGCCTACTATTTCATTAAAAAATACTGTAGTGAAGTTCATGCAAAAAATTAATCTGGTCATTGATTTTTTTTTTTCATCTTCATGAATATTATTTATGAATAATTCTCTTTTAAATCATCATTTGGGATTCACTTTGGAAACTGAGCAATCAAGTATATGTTTGGTGTTCCAATTTTGAAATTCTAACCCTTTTAGGAAAACCATCATCACCTAAGTTTCATTTTTTTTATCTATCTCTACAATCAAAAAACAGCAGTCAAGAAGAGAAGAAATGACAAATTGACTTAGAAAGCAACATGTTATGAAGAAAAACAGAAAAGGATACATGGCGCTCTCTAGTGGCTTGAAAATCACGAACACTACTTTCTCATATCTTTTCTTACAAAGAACAAGTTGAGCAGTTAATTGTGTCCATGACACCTGTGCACTGCTGTAGGAAAACTTCACTCCATTATTTGTATATCATCATAGTAAAAGACCTCTATAAAAAAGTACACTTAATTTTTAAGGGGGTCCTTAGAAAAACTCTCGACTGTGAGCAGGGGCGTAGGCGTAGTGAGGGGGACAGAAAGTTTATTTATATATGCACAGACTATCCTGTCTCTTTGAATTTAAATCTATATTTATTCACACCAGCTCTTGAAAACCTCAATGCAAACACACTTGCCCGAAAAAGTGCGGGGGACGAATTTACGTGATATTAAAAGTGGGGGGGACACCTCCCCCGCATCATCTACGCCCCTGACTGTGAGATTGCAGGTCATTTCAAGTATAGGTCTCTGAAGGAAAGTAATGGGAGTTACCAGATCAAGGCGTTTTAGACCATGTTACCTGATTGGCTGACGCCATAGTGATGGTAGGTTTAGGGGTGGGGTTAGATAAGGGGGGTCATTTTGATTGCATGATTTAGAAACCCCCAGCAGTTTGAAAACACCTGCAAAGTCAGAAATCTCGGTCATTTGCCTACTACCTGTGCGAATCGGTGGGCGGGGCTTAGCCACACGATTACGTCATAAAGTGGCACATTCCACAAGCTGTCTTTTTGGCAGACTGGCTTCAATATAAGCTGTTTTTAGACTAACAAGAAAGTTTTGAATTCTGAAACGTACATAATGTTTTATAACAATGACCTCTTGTGTCAAAAGATCAAGAGAATTTGATTTCTCGGTTCATGAGTCATGACCCCTTTGAAACATCTCATATTTTTTATTAGTTGGAATGTTCATTATTTATTTTCCAAACATTCCTTTATTTTCCTGTTCTTGATGCAAGGTGGTGAGGAACCAAAACCAAACCACTGTCATTTGTCAGACAAACTCCTCAGGTTTTAACTCCAGTGGCTGTAAATTCAATAATTTGAAATTGTCTTGAGCACTTGAGCATAACCAGTCCTGTCTGGCCATTTATCAAGCTCACAAATGAGCTCATAAACCTGTGTGACATATCGTTATTATAAATTATACAAACACAGAACTTGTGGATGTTATTGATGGTGGTGATGATGGGGCTCCTCGGCCATCTGACTGCTATAGTAAGCGTGCTTGGATATGAAAAAATAAGACAAACTACTTTGCCACAACCACTGACCCACAACATAAGAAATTACTTTCACCTCAAACACTCAGTTAGCATTCTAGATCTTATTTTTTCAAGCTTAAATGGAGTGTTTCATTTTTAAACTCATGTTGGGTCTGACATACTTTTATGGAACAGTAACACAAACCAAACCGCATTTTACATAATGCTCCAATGGAAACCTGGCACTATGGGAAAATTCTAAATGAAGTCCTCATGATTTACATAAACCTTGACTTATAATCGTCAATGAGTCACTTACTGGATTTGATAATATGACTGGCGCTCAATCAAGTTATTCACCACACCAGTCAGTTATGATATCAAATGGTTTGGCTGATATTATTAAGTATGTGTTATGTAAAAAATGTGATTCTTATCCAGTCAAGCACAGATGTGAAGGAGCGGGTAAACACAAGTTGATAAATTATTTTGTTCTCCTTCATCATCCCTTTCTCTGACTTCTTTTCTAAACATGCTTGTAGAAATGACAGAATATAGCCTTATAAAAATGGTTGTTCAGAAGTGCTTCAATGAGTGCATAGTTTTCTTAACTAGCTTAACTAAGTAAAACTGTGTTGATTACAGTACCAATAGGTCACCCAAACAATCTTTTTCTTAACTGTTCCTTACAGTTGATCTGAAATGCTAATCAATAAATAATTAACCATTAATATTGCTTACTGTTTTGAAAGAATATTTCTGCCCGTTTTATTATTTTTGAATTTAACTAATGTGTTTTTAAATAATATTTCTGCCTATTTTAAATTAATTAATGAATTAATTAATTCTGTAATTCAACCTTACAATTAACCAATAATACTTTTTTGTACAATATTTTCATGTGTTTAAAGAAAAATATTAGCTACCAATCTATTACGATAGCAAAACGATGTTGTGAATATGTATATTTAATAATACGTTGTCGTATAAACAACGAGTGAGTCATTTAGGCATCGGACATAACTGAGAAATGTGTCGCAGTTTAGAACGATTCTAATTGAATCTGAATTAAATTTAAACCGTCAACTTTCCTGAATCTTTTCGACTGACCCGTTCAAAAGAACCGACGAATAAGAGTCATTTGTTGTCCAATTTGAAACTTGTTCACTGTTCGAGGTTGTGTGCAGGAAACTGGCGCGCACTTTAATGAGACATATTTCCGTAGTAAATGGCAACAAAAAGACAACAAAATAGGCCAAAATGGTACTCTACATTCCGTAATGGTGTCTTAAAGTAGACTCAAAAGCTTCTGTGATCTTTCCACATCCATCTCCGGATTAAACATCATCTGCTTCATTAAGCCAGAAGAAGCCCACCATTGTGTGAGGAGCAGTCTGGGTGTAATCCCTGGATACTGCTGCTGTCTGTCCTTTAGGTTGGCCATGACAGAGAGTCCAGTGTTTGACTGACCGGAGAGAGACAGCAGTGTGGTTTTCTGCTTACTGAGAATGCATAATAATGTGGAGACATTATTGTGAGTCTGCTACTGTAGGCCTAATGTGCTGGAGACACTGTGGCTTTAGTTGAAGAGGTTTTATCAGACAGAGGCTTTGCCAGGCTCCCAAAGGACTCCTCTAATTAACTACCACGAGTTTTGAGCAGGACCACAGTCTAACAACGATGCTCCAACTCCAGTGACTGTGAGGAAATAAAGGTGACTCACAGATATGTGTATGATTGTGGATATCTATTTTTAAACCCTTGACATGAAATATTGCTATATTTACCACATCTGCGATACTTCTTCACAAGACTAAGGTTCTTTAGATGTTATGTCAGGATGTTATGGTGTTGTTGCCAGGGTTTTGTATGTGGCTGCTAAGGTATTCTGAGTGATTCTAGGGTGTTGACAGGTGGCAGCTTACTGGCAAAAAAGACAGCACCAAAGTTTGTATGATATTCTGGCAACTAGATGTAGATGAATTTATTACTTTGTTGGAACAGAAAAGATTTGGAGCAATTTAGCATTACATCACTTGCTCACAAATTGATCCTCTGCACTGAATGGGTGCCATCAGAATAAAGTTCAAAACACTAGCTGATAAAAAAACATCACAATTATCCACAGGTTGACTAGTCAATAAATTATGTTGTCTTGTGAAGTGAAGCAATGTCTTGATAGATTTGTTTCTTACAAGCACAAAGCTTTTCACTTCACACGACATTAACTTATGGACTGGAGTCATGTGGATTACTTGTGTATCATAATGATGTTTTTATCAGATGTTTGAACTCTCATTCTGAGGGCATCCATTCACTGCAGAGGATTCACTGGTGGGGGCAAGTGGTGTAAAGCTACATTTTTCAAAAACAAACACTGCATCTTGGATGGCCTGAAGGTGAGAACATTTTTATTTTTGGGTGAACTATTCCTTAAAAAATATTTTGAAAAAGTAGCATAATTTAAAAACCCATATAACTTAATAATAATTGTACAGACCGGCCTCGTTTTGCTTCGACGGCGTTCAGCCTCACCCTGCTTCATTCTACTACGGTAACAAATCATTAGCTCATCCATGAACATGATTTCTGCCCAAGTCCGGTCGGATTGCATCGGCTGTGGGGATGAAGACGACAACTCCCATGACTCCACACTCAGTCACGGTGTCATCAAACTAGCCTTTGCCTGTTTATTTTGAATACGTGCCCTCCATCGGCGAACATTACATATTGTGCCTTTAAATTGTGTCAGAACAAGACAAATAGGCAATTCTAGTTTCTCCACGTAACAGAACGGTTGAGCTCACTTTCACCACACGATGGTGCCGTCTGTTTAGTTTGACTAGATAGACGACCACAAGCCCTATAGCAAGGGAAATACTGAATAAAACTAGGCCATTTGCTATCAGTGTTGATATAGTCAAGACAAAGTAAAACGCACCATCTTTGATTCACTGTCATGAGTCAGCAATTTATGGACGATTATCTTAGAATAAGACCAAGAAAGCGTCTGAAAGC